TTTTAATACTATAATGTGTTAGTATTAGACACATGTGAATTTTAATACTATAATGTGTTAGTATTAGACACATGTGACTTTTAATACTATCATGTGTTAGTATTAGACACATGTGACTTTTAATACTATTATGTGTTAGTATTAGACACACGTGACTATCACTTTGTTGTCATAGTTTAAGCTACTTTCTACTTGATTAGTTTTCAGTCATCAGTGCCAAAGACAAAAGTTTTATATACGTTCGATATGGATCAAATTCAGAATTATATTACTGTAATTCGCGACATTGTCAAGTAAAGCTGTTGTTACCTTAAGTTGATGTTAATACACAATGATGTCTTGCACTAATTGAAACGAGATGCACAGTATCATTCGGAACACCTCTGTCCATTCGGTCAAAGGTGACCAATGAAAGGTGTTCCGAATGGTACAGTACATTGACCTCAATCAACTTTCATGATTAATTATTTAAATGTCTACCTGATTCATACCTAAACACGTTTACAAGATATTTCTCACAACCAACAAATACTAACAGAGACACAATGTACCGTTAGCTACGTGTATGATATCATAAACTTAAGCTTAAAATGGTAAACTGTTATCAATGAGGTATATATCATTTATCTGTAATAAATACATTTAAGGTGAAAGGAATCACTCTCTACACTATCGCTGTAATTTTATCGTGTATGCATGGTCGGAGTGTTGTACTCTTTGTTTGTATTATATCTGTACTATATTATTTGCACTGTACTGATCAACCGCAAGGTTAAAGGTAATAGATAAAGAATGAATGAACAGATAATGAAGTGCCATCTGACTGCAATGACATCACCTGTACACGTAACAAAACAAGCCATCAGTTATATAATACTGACAACGTGCTACCCATAGGTGCTTAGGGAGACATTGCCGACAAAACAGTGGATAGACGAGAAAAGACAAATGTCCCAAATGTTGCAATGGGGCAACAGATAAATTTCGGTTTCACGCGTGTCCCCTGAGTAGACGACAGAAGAAAGCCTTTGATTCTGCAGGAGAAGACACATTAGTCGCCTCTTTCGAGCATGCAGTGGGATACAGCAGGTCGTTTCTTTCCTGTAATCTTCAGTGATCTGTAGAATACAT